AGGGACAAGATTTCACCACCTCCAAGTCAGCTCTTTCCAATTAATCAAGATTCCATAAACAATTCTTCTGTGAGATAAAGCAAGAGGCTAAGGGACTGAGGAGAGCTTTCACATAGACACATGTCTGGAGGGAGAAAAGAGGAGAGGTTCGATTCAAGTCATCTTCCCACACATCCACCCGGTAAACTTTAACTGAGCAACTAGAATGGCCTGGGCATTGACTAAGCATCGGATGCTAGGACTGCAAAGATTCCCACTCTCAGAGTGCTGACGAGAGTGCTATTGAGAGGGACACATACCGTGTGCGTTTCATGGCAAGACCAACTGTTAAGACATGCTTTACCGGAAGAGTGTACAATTCTGTCACGCACAGAACCTGGAGGGACAGAGAAGTTGGAGGAGGTGTGCTCCCTGTGACAGCCAGATACAGCCTCCCAGAGTAGGGGCTTGTGCTGTAAGAAGTAATCTGGGGTCTGTCGGTTGTACAAGGACAGGGAATAGCGTTTTAGGTAGAAGCAAGAGCAAGTGCAAAAGCTTTGAGAAGTGGGACTGCCTGGAGTTTTTAGAAATCTTGAGCAGACCAGTATGGCCAGAGGACAGAATAAAAGATTATATACCACTACCACCACCACCACTACCACCACCACCACCACCAACAACAACACACACACACACATACCAGCATCCTGAGACCTAGGCTGCTGCCTTGGGTCTGCCACCGGTTTCCTGTTTCATTCTCCTTTTGAAGAGCCTTAGTTTCCCCATCTGGACACTGGGAATACTGCTGCTGATTAGTAATTAATAATGCTGCTTGCTTTCCTCACTCCCACCTGATCCAGAAGGTCCCTGCGGTGAGGGCTCCTCTCTGAGGCTGGGCCCACCCAGTTAACTCAATTTGATGGGAAGGTCAGGCCACCTCAGCGAACAGGGCCTCAAATGACGGTCCTCCTTGCTTGAGTTGGAGCTCAGATTCCCAGGGGGAGGCTGAAGGGAGCCAAGCATCCTCTCCAGCTGCTGGACCTGCACCCTCACCCCACACACACAGACTGCAAGGACTGCTGGGAACAAATTCAGCTCCTAAAGCCCCACTCTTAGGCTCAATAAGGCTTACGCTCATCCTCACACAGGTGCATGGCTTTGTTCTACGCATCCACACCAGTCAGGTGATCTCTTGGCTCATTTGTACCTTGGAGGGCACAGGTAACAAGTCAAAACCTTCAGAAGACTGTCAAGACCTGAGGCCCTTGTAAACAGGAGCCCCCAGTCGCTCCTCCTGGGGTACTAAGAGCCCTGTCGATACAGAATTGCTGTTAAGCCTGTGACACCCTTGCAGCTGTTCTCAAATCTCCCACAGGCGGGCAGGCGAGTCAGAGTGGTAAAGGGGTCCTCGGGGCTGCAGAAGACAGTGCTGGGACCTAGGTTCACAGCTCCAGGAGGGGCCCCCTAGGGTAGGAACTATCCAACAAGGGAGAGGTCTGCCCGATGGAGCATCTCCTGGGCTTGGAGATGTCCTGGTGAACGCTGGTAGGTGTTCCATGCCAAAAATGTGCTCCAGTCAATAGGTGTGGGAAATGTAGGGTTGAAGGAAGGTTCGTTGGTTTTGTGCCCAGGACTTCTCAGAGCTTTTCTTTACTGTGCTAGAGGGCACCGTGTCTCCAAAGAAGGGACAAATGCATTTGAGCCCAAAGTCCTCCCCTGACCCCTACAAAGCATCACTGACCTTAAGGCCACATCGCCAAGCCATGCCTGACCCTGGAGGAAGAGGACAAGAAACTGGCTGCCCTTATCGAACCTGGGCTGGCACAGGTAACAGCCACAGCTCCCTGCGGATGCAGGGGCTACCCACGAGGGTCCTGGGCCTCCCTCTGAGGAGCACCAGAGCTAGTGCTCAGCAAGGCGGTACGGACTTCTCTGGAAGAGGGGTCCCACGGGACGCACACTGCTGTGAATTTTAATTTCAAACAAAACCTGGCAGAGAAGACCCCAGGCCTCCCAGCTGCCTCCCTTTAGAGCTGCCTTCCTTGGGTACCTGGGGAGATAGATGTGCTGAGCCAAGGCACTCAGGACTCTCTCTCCAGGGACATTAGTTGTCACTGGGGTTCATAAGGCCAAGTTACTAGACCCAGTTGCCTTAAAAAAAAAAAAATAACAATAATAAACTGCACAAAGGGCCTGTACCTGCTCTGGCCTGGCACCCTCACCACGAGCTGAGAAGCTGAGGAGCAACCCAGGCATCCAAGTCACCTGCTGATGCTCCTGCCCTCGCCTGTGAACTCTGCCATCTCTCCCTCGCTCTGCCTCCAGGGCCAGCGCTCCGCTCAGAACCCTTGTCTTATCTTCAGCTTCCAGAGCTGAGGTTCCGGGGGCACAATGGGCTTCTGTGCCCCCGGGTCCCCACCCCCCTCACCCGCCCAAATCCCAGCTGCATTCATGGTGTTTTGCTATTGTGGTGGGAGCAGCCTGGGGGTGGTGCAGGAGGGGGTGGGCTCTTGGCACAGAGACTGGCGCAGACAGGCCGTGGTCAGCGGTCAGCATGCCAGTCACATTCGCAGGCACTGCCACCAGGCCTGCCAGCCTCACACAGAATGGTGACGCTCCTGGGCCCCTGGGTCCCTTCGGAGCGGCCCCTCCAGGCCACAGACGACCCGCTTCCTCTCCGGCCAGCCCGTTGGTAGCACTCAGGTGGGGAGGACTTTCTCTTGCCGTCTCAGCCAGTTGCTATTTTGGAGCCACATGAGGTCACTGGCCAAGGCCTAGATGCAGGAAAGGCCTGTCTGCAGCAACACAGCTGGGGCTCCACGCGGGGTCAGGAGGCAAGTGGCCGGGAGGGAGAGTGGGTGAGCCCAAAGCCAGGAGGGCCTTCTGCGAGTCAGCAGGCATACCCTCCAGCCGCTCCAGGGAAGCCACCGGCCTCGGAGCTCAGGGGGGGCCTCTGCTGCCTCCCCTAATGCACCCCCTTCCCTGTCCGTACAGCTCTCAGACCCATGCACCCTCCTGAGAACAGCAGAGACGGCATGTAACAGATGGGTTAACTGAGACTCCCTGAAAGTCAGGTCCTTAGAGACTCTTTGGGCCCCAGGGAAGGAATGTGCCTCTTCGGAGGTAAACTGAGGTAAGCAGCAGGAAGCCTGGTCTCAGAGCCAGCTAGGATCCTGGACCGCAGAAATTTCTGAGAGGAGGCACACCAAACTCCTCCCACAGGGGACTCCTGATGGCCCCAGACTCCTTGTTCTCACTGGGCAACAAAGGCCACACCATAGGGTGGGGGGGCAGTGAAAAGCTAGCAGGGGTTGATTAGGGACCCCCATTTGTCCTCCAGGTCACAGTCACCCTCCTCCCTTGGGGCTTCCACAGGACCTGCAGGAAACCCTGCAACCATTCACCCTGTATCGTCCCATCCGTCTTCTCACCTGGGCCCCGTGAGCCTGGGAACGAGTCCCCAGGGGCCCGCACGGAGCTCAGCGCATGTTTGGTCAGAGAAGTCCCACGCCCTGAAGAAAGACCCCACACACCGTCCCTCCAGATCACTGATCCCCGCAGCCAGTTCCCTGAAGAGGCAGCAAAGCCTCTTACAAGAAAGGAAGATTCCCAGCCAAGAATAATTCCTCGTGTGGAGAGTGCTTTACAATTTACAAAGAGCTTTGGCATACAAATGCTTTCTCCTGGCACCAAGGCTGCCGCTCCACGCTCCTCTCCTTCAGCGGTGCCCAGCCAGCCGGGCTCAGGTCAGCCAGCGCTCCTCTCCGCTCCCTGGCGCAGGCCCCCCTCTGGCCCCGAGGCCTGCGTGCTATACGTCCGGTCTCCCCGAGCCAGGAATGGCTGAGCTGAACACGGGACGAGGCCAGGGAGGGTGACACTCTGTCTCAGCCTTCATCCCCAGTGCACTGGCCTTCTCCCCAAAACGGCCAGGCCTCTCTCTGCCTCTCCTAAAACTAACCGGTGTGCTCACGTCTTGAAGGAAAATTACCCTTATGTGTGTCCTCTCCCTCACCCCTTCCCCCCAAAACCTTTCCAAGGGGAGCTGCCAGAGGGGAGTGAGGGAAGGCCACAGAAGGGTGTCTGCAGTTCACAAACCAAGCAGGAGCAAGTGGGAGTGGGGGAGGAGGAGGGGCCCAAAACGGAAGAGCGGGGAGTGGGATGCAGAAAGACTCTGAAGACCCTCAAAGGGGCTGGGAGTTCCTGGGAGCCTGTGTGTTTACGTAGCTGGGAAGATGCACTGCCCCTGACTCGGTGTAACCGAATCCACCCAGGAGCAGACTTTGCAAGCAGCCGGCCCAGGTTTGTGGGGAAGGCACTGGCAGCTGGAACCTCTCCCGCTACCAGCCCCCCTCCCAAGAGCTCAAGAGGATTTCCCTTTCATTTCCTTCCAGGCTGGGAGGGCGGGGGACAGCGCAGTCTGTGGGGTCAAGCCCTCAAAAACCACTTCCTATGTGGCTGGGGGAGGACGGATCTGGGGGTTCCAGCGTGGGAACAACAGGTAAAGTCCTCGGGGCGAGTCACTGCTCCCCAGGGTGCCCTTTGGATCAGAAACCGCCCAGGTAGATGGAGAAAAGATTTTAGAGGCCCCCCCTCCCTGCAGAGGAGCTGGGAGCAGAATTTGCAGTCCGGCCCGGCGAGCGGTGGCCCAGAAGGGGATGGGGTTTGGGTGTGGGAAGGACACTTGGAAGGGGCTCCCCGCCCGGCTGTCTGGAGAGAATTCGGAGCCCCCCGCCCCGTCGCCTCCCTGCTCCCCCACCCCTCTAGAAGAACGCGGCGGGCTGGGAGAGGAGCCGGGAGGGCCCCGCCCGCGCCCGAGCTGCTCCCGGCTGGGCTCAGCCGGGAGGTGACGCGCTCCCAGCGCCCCGGGGACTTCGGGCAGCGAGTTTGGCAGAGCTGAGCTAAGCCAAGCCAAGGAGGGCCGGGCCGTAAGGAGCCGGGCCGGGCCCCGCCAGGAAGAGCCGGGCAGATAGGAAAGGGCCCCGCGCTGCGGACGGAGAGCAGGGGCGCGCGGGGGCACCCACCTCTCCGCGCTGCAGCTGGAAGAAGCTGTTGAGATAGCTGGAGTGCAGGGGCGAGCCCAGCTGCTCCGGGCGGCCCTTGCCGAAGGCCAGCTCCGGGGGCGCGGCGCCGGCGGGCGGCTCGGGCCGAAAGGCATCGAAGGCGCTCGCCTGGTGCGTGTCCTGCAGCGACAGGTAGACCCAGTTGAGCAACTGGGCCGGCTGGTACACCGAGGCGCTGGTGTCGATGGCCGACAGCAGGCTCATTTTGCGGCGGCGGTGCCGGCCCCTCCCCGGCAGCCCGCTCGCGCCCCCCACCTCCAGCGGAGGGGCGGGCACCGGGGAGCCTGAGCCCGCTGCCCGCCGCCCGAGCCCCGACGGCGATCGCCCCGCGCCCTGCGCGCCGCCCGCAGCCGCCACCGCCGCCGCCGCCGCCACCTCCCCGGACTGCGGCCGCGGCGCGCGGGCGGAGGAAGGAGGCAGCGAAAGTTGGGAGGAAACTTTGGAGCCCGCCCCCTCCGCGCCGCCGCCCCGCCCCGCCCCGCCCCGCGCGGCGATCCGCTATCTGCCTCCGCGCTGACCCCTCCGGCGACCGCTCCCGGGGCGGGGCTCCATGAGGCCACGCCCCTCGGGCTCCGTCCTCGCCTCCCATTGGCTGTCCCCTTGAATAGGGAAATGAGGCAAAGCCCGTCTAAATGAGCAGCGGGTGCTGGCCCGCCCCTGGGCGGCCCCTCCCGGCCCCGCCCCCCGCTCCCCTCGGTTCTCGGGAGCCCGCGGGAGCCCAGCACGGCCCCGTCCAGATCCAGTTCCTCTCTTGCTGCCCTCAGCGATGCTCTGTTTCGCGTTCGTGCCAAATCCTCGCCAATTATGTCATTTTCACTCGTTTTCTGTTTTTTTCTTTTCTGTTTTCCCACTTTGCTCACACTCTGCCTTCTCCCTCAGACTAGTATCTCCTGTGCCCCTGGTCTCTGTCTGTCTCCGTGGCTGTGTATGTCTCTCTCTATGTTTCTCCTTCGTCTTTCCCATTTCCGTCTAGTCTGATGTGTCTGCTGCCTCTCCCTCCCCTCCCAGATCCAGACACACACACACACTCTCTCCTCCCTCCTTCCTCTCGCTATCACCGTGGGACCCTCCCCCGCCCAGCTAATTCCTTCCATCTGCAGAATCGCTTTGCAGGGCCGGCTCTGCCAAGGGGGGCCCGGGTTCCTGCCCCAGGAAGGACTCCCCGCCCCCTTCCTTCGCCTTCCCCCCACCTCCTCTTTCTCTCCTGTTTCTCCTCTGGACCAGCATTGCTTCTCCCTCTACCCTCCACTCCCCATCCTCCACCCCCCACTCCCGATTCAAGGTGCCCTGCGAGTCGCCAAAACACCAGACGGGTCCGAGGGAGCTCCACCATCCCAGGATAATCCAACTAGTCCAAGTTTCCCTAAGTGAGCCCCGCCCCCCATCCTACCCTACCCCCACCCCACACGGCGCCCCTGATCCCACTGACGCACCTGGAAGCTCTGCGGCCCTCTCACTCCGGGGTGACCACCGCTGCACCAGAGCCAGATTCTGACTTAGAAGCTCCTGGAGGGGACCCGGGTCACCTCTCCCACCTGAAACCTAGTGCCACTCTGCCAGCGTCCAAGTGCCAGCTCTGCCACCTTCCAGCTAAGTAACCTAGGCCTGGCACCTAACCTCTAAGAGGGAACCTGTAAAATGGGGACAGTCACCGTCCTGCCTCGAGATGTTCGAGAGTTTACCAGCTGAGCCTGGTAATCAGAAGGTATGCCATAAAGGTCAGCTCCCTGCCACCCCTTCCCGGGATTTCTCCCACGACCTGCATCCACCCACCCCGGTGGGTGCTTGGGCCCGAAAGGCCTTCAGTGATGGCCAATGAAGCTCGTTCCCACCAGGTCACTAACCAAGAACCCCTTTGACTTTTTCCTGTCTTATTTGATCATATTTTTAAGATTTTGTATATTACTAAGTGATTTACAATTACTGATAGAAACCATATCAATCATAAGTAAGTTTATTTATCAGAGAAACACCTAAACTGTACACTTTCTATTTTAAAACAGTATTAAACCTATTGGTTTAAAGAGAAGGCACACATTTGTTAGGAATGTGTGTGATTTAACCATTTTACTCCTGAAAATATCGGGGGTCATCTCTGGAACTCTGCTGCTATCTTTGAGGTTTAATGGTAGATGGGATTTGGAACCACTGAACTAGCTTTCCTTGGGTTTTATAGAGAAAACTGCTGTTCAGAGAGGGGACATCTTGCGATGATATGAGACACGCGGCCTGTGTTCCCTGTCCTTCAGAGTAACTTGATGCTGTGAGGTTGCTTGTCATGCCTGGGGACCAGACTGATGCCCTCTGTCCCTTTCACTCCCCCCTCCAGCCCCCACCCTCACGCAAGGCCTGGTGCATACACAGGAAATAATCCAAAACTGTTGGCTAGGTCGGTGGTTAAATAGCTCATTAAAGGATGGTCAGATTATGCCTCCCTTTGAAGACTGAGTGGCTCCTTAAGTTTTGTACTTTTCTCCGTGGGTGATCAATAAATTTGAGCAACTGACAGGCAGTTCGCCTGGATAGCAGCTGATTGACCTGAGGTCAGCTCCTTTGCTGGCCTCTCAGGATCCCTGAGACAGCACCTCCTGGTGGGGTGGGGACAGGGTGATGGGGAGGGTGGCCTCATGGGCATCAGAGGCCTGAGTACAAGGCCCAGAAGAGTGGGCCATACCAAACTCTGCATTTAACCTGTCAGAGGCCCTAGCCCATGCCTTCACTTTGCAGAGGTGGAGGCACTACAGCCAGAGAAGGAAAGGGTCTTGTGCAAGCTCACCCAGGAAGCCTGAGGGCCAAGCCACCTGCTGTATCCCACTCCACTTCCTAACTCCTGTCTGGGCGTCTGGTCTGGCCGTCTCCCGTGAGGCAGCAGTGTCCTCAGAACTGCAGGTGGGAGGGAACTCCCAGGTGCGGCTTGAGTCCCTGCCTCTTTGACTCTGCACACCCCATGGGCTCCAGAATAGAACAGTGGAAAGAAGACAGGATTTGGAGAAAAGAAATCTGGCTGAGTAGCCTTAGGCAAGTGCCTGCCCTCTCTGTACACCTCAGTTCTCTCAGTGACTGATGGGGTCAGAGGAGGGTGAGAACAGGAAGGCAGTTTGCTAGCCGTGAATAAGCAATCACGTGGCAGTATTAATAATATCAATAGGAGTGATATTCCATTTATCTAGAGTGGTGGTTGGGAGGAGGAGGGTGCATGTAAGGAAGTGCCTGGCCGGCCCCGAAGTTGCCCAGGCAACAGGTCTGATAGGTGTTTGGTGGCGTTTCAAACCAAGAGCTTTGAGTTCAGAGAAGCAGGAAGAACTTTAGAAAGAAGAGCAAGCAGGTCTTCATGAGGGAATCAGCTTTGTTTGTTTGTTTTTGTTTTAATATATTTTATTGATTTGTTACAGAGAGAAAGAGAAAAGGATAGAGAGTTAGAAACATCCTGATATCAGCTGCCCCTTGCACCCCCCCACTGGGGATGCACCCGCAACCAAGGCACATGCCCTTGACCAGAATTGAACCTGGGACCCCTCAGTCCACAGGCTGATGCTCTATCCACTGAGCCAAACTGGTTCGGCTCAGCTTTCTGTTTGGGCTTGAAAGGCAGGCAGAGATGAGCAGAAGAGGGGGCTTCCCATTCCTATGCAAACGGATGCTGCTTATTTCTCTGAAACATGCCTCACAGTGGCTTATACCACAGAGCACTCCCTGACCCTCTTGCACTTGCCCGCACTCCGTGCCTCAGGAATAAACGGCGGCGAAGAGCACACTGGGAGGCGGAGGTTCCCTCTCCTCTGGCCAGGCCTGGGCACTGGGCTCCTCGAGGCTGTGTGTTGACACAGCGGGTGTCAGTTTACAGCAGTGATAGCAAAATGGCAAATCCTCTCCTTGCCAGAGCCACGGCCTACCTCCGACTTAGGACACAAATCACCGAGTGCAGACTCCTTCCCAGGCGACTTCAGATCCCTCCCAACACAGCCATGTGCGTTGCTGCTAAGAGTGGAATGACCCAGTGGGTAAAAACAAACCTTCAATCCTTGACTTATATCCGCCCTCCCAGGACCCTTTCGAACCTGTACGGTGACTTTGTGCAGGTTAGAAAAGAGGTTGTTCTAAACTGCAGTGGGCTCAAAGCTTGTGTACTACGTAGTAGAAGGCACCTTGGCGGCCCCATTGCTGCGCGGGTATATGATTTCAGCACCACTAACCCAGAAACCTTTGTGCAGTAGTGCTAAGAGGAAACCTTAGGGACAACCTGATCCCTCGAGCCCCACCCCAGACTCTTGACCCTGAAAGCGCCACCTTTTGTGAGACCCAGGAATCTTAAACTCCACACAGGTGCTGAGCTGTGGAAAGTGCCCCTTCCTGGCTGTGTGACATTGGCACATGGAGTATCCTCTGCTGGACAGTTTCCTCGTGTGTAAAATTTTCCCACGGTGGCTTGACTCCCAGGACACAGGAAGGCATGGACACTCAGAAGGCCCTGGCATCTGGGAGGCCCTTGGGGAGTGCTTGCTTGTGAAGGCTGACACCATGAGGGCTGTCAGCCCGGGAGTCAGAGGCTCAGAGTCCTTCACCCAGCTCTTAATGCATGGCCTAGGGCCGTGGTGGGCAAACTGCGGCTCTCGAGCCACATGTAGCTCTTTGGGCCCCTAAGTATGGCTCTTCCACAAAATACCATGGCCTGAGCAAGTCTATTTTGAAGAAATGGCGTTAGAAGAAGTTTAAATTTAAAAAATTTGGCTCTCAAAAAGAAATGTCAATCATTGTACTGTTGATATTTGGCTCTGCTGACTAATGAGTTTGCTGACTCTAGGGCAAGCTGGCAGATCCCCTGGACCTCTGATTCCTAGAAGTCACAGAAATAGGCCTAACAGCATGCCCTCCCACCCCACTCCCCAACCCATGCTCCCCAAGGAACAGCCCTCAGAAAAGTGATGTGGCGGACATGGGCCCTTTCTCACGTAGGAGCTGTGGGCAGAAATTACTTTCTTCTTCGCCTTCCAATTTCATATCCACTTTTTTTTTTTTAATAAAACCAAAAAAAGCAACAACAAACCATATAGATTTTATCAACAGCTTCAACCTGTGGAGAGACCCCAGGCCTTGGGGTTGAAGAGATGCCTAATCACTCCGGACCAGTGATCAAGCGTGAACATGTCTTCTGTGGGGGACAAGGGAGAGTGGCTTTGGAATATGAATGTTTTTAGGCTTATTGG